AATAGACTCATAGTTACGATTGTTGATACATATATTCATATACTACATAATACTATATAATATGATACATGAATTATAATAATTTAATGCGTTTTATTAAAAAAACGTTTAGAAATCGGGCATTTGGCATGCTCGTAGTCTCAACATGGTGTGTATTCCTAACTTATATTGAATCAAATATAGACAATGATCAACCGACATGAAAATTATATACATCTATAGTTATATTTATGGAAATATTTGGAAATTTATTCTGTATGATAGTAATTGTATATAGCTCAATAGCTGGTACATAATATATATCGGATTTTTGTACATAAGTGYATATCTAATAAGGTCATGAATTGACTTCTTATATTCTAACAAGTAACAATCAGTTCTCAATGTTCTCACTTCTCTCCAAGACTTCGATAAATTAAGTGAAAAGTCTTATCATTCAAAATACAATATCGATATAGCATGTGTCTGAAGCACGATTTAAGATATATATATCTGATATATATAGTCTGAAGTTGACTACCAGTGATTTTTTTGTTCAACTAACGATAAAATCTTATTGTTTATTGCATTGCATTTCATTTGGTTTAAGGAGTGCCGTATTATAATACTTAATACTTATAAATGTTCGATCYTATTCGGACCTTTGAATTAAATATCAGTACCATGAGCCCATGAAAAAATGTTATAATAAATGGGCTTGTCGTGAAATATTTAAATTTAATAGTCCACTGAAATAGTTCTTACTTAGATGATATTATTTATGGATATACGATGATTTTAGTCTTAAAAATGCTTAAATAGACTTTTAATAACCCAGATCAAATKTTTGTATAAAGTCTCATCGGCAGTCCAAGTACCTCTTTAATTTGAACATGAAGAAATGTTATTAAGATTATTATGTATAAAGATCATGAGCACTCTTAGAAATACAAACAGGGGGGATGGGAGCGGGCTAAATAAAAAATCTCTGATATTACTGCAAGTATACTATTTTTTTGTTTTTATTAACGATAAAACAGTTATCAATAATTAAAACCTCCCTGAAGACGACAATAATTATAGTCGAATAAAATGTATAAAAAAATTAACATCAAATGAATAGATATAGGTATAAATGTATAATAAGGTTRAGGTATAACTTAGGGTTGTCAGATTTTAAAAACGCCAAACCGGGACATCATATTGAATAACCTTTTTTTCGTATAATTTGTTTATTATCATGTTCAATTGTAATTGTTGAGCTATCATAGTTTMATACTAGAAGCCAATAAAAATAGTAAAAACCTTTTTTTGTATAATTATACGGGAATTAATATTATCCCATATTTTAATTGAAAAATGTATTAACTAATACAATTTTTACATAAACTACATTTACTGCATTTACATTTATTAATTGTTAGTAATAACCTAATTCTCATACTTTTCGGTTGAATGAATTGTTTTCAATACAACGGTATTAATTTTGATTTTTAAATAAAATTTATTACAAGTTRAACCCGAATTCTATGTATATAATATAATTATTCTATGTTTTATTAACAAAATAATAATAAAGTTATTTTCTCTTGTCTTCCATATATCAGGACAAAATTAATGACCAGCCGGGACACCGGGACATTCTGTAAAAACCGAGACTGTCCCGGTCAAACCGGAACGAATGGCAAGCCAAGGTATAACCTTGGCTAGGTTTTTTAGATTTCAGTTTGAACCCGAATCCGATTAATCGGTTTCATCAACGGCGTGGAATGATATATACAAATCTATTTGAATATATTTGATTGTTCATTTGTGTTTGTGTATTTTGCGTTTAATAACTCTKTGTTAAATCAATAGTTTACAACAGTTACAGTTCATTCCACAATTAATTTTTTTAACAGGGACGCTTGCGATTCTACATGCACCGATACCTACCTAATACCTATACAGGTTACATATATTATCACAACTGGACTTGGCCGTACACTACCAGCCGATTGCAATCTATAGTATCCATTCAGATGTTTACACCTATTTGGGATAACTGTGTGAGTACTGCAATTATAGTTTTTAGTTGAGCAAGGGATAGGAAGTGGGCTGTAAAGTAGCATTTCTGTTCTAAAAGTTTTTCGGATCATCACATTACGCTCTCGTCTGAAGTCCGTCACTTAGATTTTAGTTCGATTAAAAATCATATCATTTTAAAATAAAGCAAGTGGTTACCAACTGCATATGATAAATAACTGATTGGTCGATGGCAGTGGCATGAAAAATAATGTCTAATAAAGAATTGCTCGAGTAAAATCTTTTACATAGATGGGTGACGGGTGTTGAACTATTGAATATTGATGTAGAAGGAAAATAGTGTCTTTGTCACTAGGTATAGCAATATTATGAGTGATAGATTACCTAAAATTATTTTAGTAATACTACTTTTGTTTTAATTTGCCACTGATCGATTGTGGAAATGTCGCAGAGGCGGTTTGAGTATACTGTTTTTGGTACACTGCACCGCCAATGTTAGGGGGGTGGGTGGTCTTGGTTGAGCATGTGCTGACCGCAATGTTTAATTTTAGTGTTCAATAAATGAAAAGAGTAATAAAGTACCTAATCAATGACATATGATAAATGATAATCGTGGCTGAAACTGTCGAAAGCGTCGAGTTAAGAATATAAGGGCCTTATAATTGTAAACTATAAACTTATTAAAAAATATTCATTTGTAATCTCTATTATGATGGTGGTGGGGGGGGTGTCTATATATTGTCTTGCACCACCAAGTTTAATACATTCAAACCGCCTCTGGAAATGTGGAATGTCGAAGTTTCGAGGCGCTATATTAGTAGGTATATTGTAGTTYGGCGCCTGTATGGCTGTATGCCTATATGTATGCAAGATGCAACCAAACATTCAAGGTTTCTTATCAGTTATCACTTTATCAGTTTTAAAATCTCACGTCTTCGCGTCGTTCACGACTCGTTCCCGCCTTCGGGCCTTGCCGAGTTTTAATTTTATACATTATCGCAAGTAAAGCGTTTCAGACGTTTCAGTGTTCACTGTTCTGTGCGCACTGCGCAGCTGTTGTACCACTCGGGTTCACGAGTCRCGACTGACTTGCTGTAATTATAGCCCTTGTCACTTGTCAGATTCCAGTTTTGTGTTAATTCTTCTGTACGTCTCACTACTTTGTGAACATTCATCAACTGTAACCGGTCATCTCTCGGACTCCACACGCGTCTTGTCAACAAACGACGTCTCGCGTTGCCAATTTGGGTTTTTTGAATTCTACAAGCACCGTTCCGATCAACTATAGTTTGGTAACAGTAGAGTGCCGACACAGGTCATCCCAATGGCCGAACGTTTGGAAGATTTAAATTTACCGGTGACGGCAATCACCCGTATCGCCAAGGAAGTTTTGCCAGCCAACATCATTGTGTCGAAAGAAGCCAAGACAGCATTAGCCAGAGCAGCATCAGTATTCATATTGTACGTGAGCAATCAAGCCACCACAATCGCAACCAGCAGGAACAAGAAGACAATCAGTGCACAAGATGTGCTGGAAGCACTGGCCCAGGTCGATTTCGAATGTATGATTGAACCGTTACAGCAACTGTTGGAAGGTATGTTGATTCATAATATCAAACGATTTACCTACCATAGGACAGATAATGCTAATTAGACCAGATGATAGGTATAAGTTTTGTCATTAGTTCTTGATTAACAGTGGCTCACTTATGTGGTGGCATAAAATATTTTAATTCGATCTAGTATACTTCTATATTTGAATTTATAAATGGAAACAGATTTTAAAGAAATATTTAAGCAGGTCATTAATAATTCTAATCAATATAATATCACAATTTACTGGCACGAGTAAAACATTAATTACGTTTAAATTATTTCAATCAAGTTTGATTTGGATTTTAAATCAATTAACCAGCAGATATTTGCAGCATCAACCCTGAAACTAAATAATTATTGTTTTACTGTTAAGTTACTAAATTAGTTATTCATAACTTTTTTTATTTTTATTATTAGCTTTTAGTTTTACTATTATAGCTCAACAGTTATATAAAATAACATAACTAGATAATAATAAAATATTACAAAACATGCAGAGTTAAAAACATCAATTAGGTATATGATAAAACCAGCCTCCAAAATAAAATTAATAATTATATTTACGACTATTTCTGAATTGGAATTGAGGATAGAAGAAAGAATGAGAGGGACATTGATGGATTTAAGAAAATTAAACAAACTAATGCGTTTCGCGTGCAGAGAAGGTCAATCAAAGATAAGGTAGGGGAAAATATTCATAACTTAATTAAGAAATAATATACCTGTTGTCAGTTATATTATACTTTAGATAGGTAAACATAATACCTATATTACATTTTTAATTGAATAACCTGTTGTATCAAACAACTAGAAAGCAGATATTTAGGTTTTTACATATTTTGATTGGCTTTATGCAATTTTACGAGGATGAAAAATATGGACGATTATCCATTCATAGGAAAAAATATATTTTGGAAATAAGGAACATTTAACCTATCTTTTATACTTTAAAATACATYCTATTATTGTTCATAAAAATTGTGATTTTGTGTGGCAACAATTTTTTTTAGGCCAACAAAATAATTTCATTCAACAATGATATAGATTAAAAATCACTCAATCATTATCATTTTTTATGTTTAAATAATTTACTTGTCACCAAAACAATGATACATTACAGTTATTTATTGTTTTTGTAGATTGTTGTAGTGGTCAAATTGCTTTCTRCAAAAATTTGTTTCATATGTTTATTATTTTTGATTTTTTCCTGTAGATTTCAAGTCGACTAAACAACAAAAGAAAGATACAAAAAAACCAACTCCAAACAAAAATGCAGATGATACAGATGTTATTGATTTGGTTGATGATGATTTGGAATTGTGATTATTAAGTTCTTAATTTTTTTTTTTTAACATTTATTATTTTTATTAAAAAGTGATGTTATTTCTAGAACAGTAAAAAAATAAATGTATTATAATGTGTTAACATGGATTAATTAAACAACATTAATAGYATATAAAAATATAGTTTTGAATAAGCTAAATTAGTGTTTAATATTTAGTATTATCAAATAATAAGTTTTATGAATGCTATTCAATGCTTATTCTATTGTATAAAATATGTAATATAGTAATAGTAATAATAAGAATAATAATAATAATAATAATTGATAAACGCTAGCCAATAATAGCAATGCTAAGACTGAAAATACTGATATAAATAATAGTCAAGTTATATTTTTTACATCATATTTATGTAAGATTTCAGTTCTGCACATAGGGCACAATGATATTTGTTCAGAGCACTTCCCACAGCAACACAAGTGTCCACAAGGAATAAACAAAACATCAAACTAAAAAAAAAAATTATTATTTCAGACACTAATCACAAATTAATGTACACAGATTTAAGATGGAATAAAACTTGGATTTTTTGTAATTCAAAAATCATTGACCTTAAAGTTTAAATACTTAAAATAATATAAAATGCCACTAATTATTTATAATTAAAAAAAAAAAAATTTTGCTTTATGTGATTATACAAGATGAAACATTATTACTTCCTTATTTTATGGAATTTGAAATTAAATTAAATATAATTTGTTTTTGGATAAAAAAAACTTGAATATTTAAAAGTAGATTCCTTATGAGTTTTTTTACCATATTAAAAAAAAATATTATAAAAATATTAAAATACAGACAATTTTTTTATAAAAGTTGAAAGATCAAGTTTTGAAAGTTTAAAAAGTAATGCAGTAAAAATTAATTCAACCTACTGTGTTACTAATACTAAAATAAATCACTATAAAACAAACATAAAAGAAAAATAATAAAATTTGCTTAGAAATATAGACTGACCATACAGAATAGTTTTTAGTCAATGATTTATCATTGACAATGGCTTACTTAAGAACGAGTCACATTCTAGTACTCAATACTACTAATATACAACAGGATAGTATCTATACGCAGTCCAGCAAGAGCACACGCAGATTCTGCATACCCCACTTGCGTCACTGCCATCAAAACTGTTTTTTTTTTTGAGGCAGGGTGTCACATGGGGATGCACAGAGGAACCTATTTTCATTGGTATGTGGTGTGTTCTTTCGTTGGACAGAGTAAATATTTTATTAAAGTATACTTAGTATAGTAAACTATATTTAAAACCATTTTAATTTGTGAATGTGAATATTAGTAAACAATAAATGTACAAAATACGTTATAATTGATTGTAGAATAGTAGTAGTAGTATAAAATATTACTTTTGTTTCCATGCAGATAATACATTCAACATCCTCTAAAAAAGGAGCCGATGGAGAAACCTCATTTTCTGTTGAAGCAGATGGTATAGGAAAATAATTTAATGTATTAATTAATATTGCTTGATCATCACAGCTCTTAACACCCATCTAATAAACAAACACACTTATAATAGATACTGAGAATATATATAAATATTAAATAATAACAATATCTACTTTAACAAGGTATTCTTTTGTCAATGGTAATATCAGATCGTTCTCCAAAATAAATAATAGAAGATGACCACCACCAGCTGTACATACTCTGTGTAGTAATGCAGGATTAATTATTTTCTTGGAGAACATTAACTCAGATGGCATGTCATTAACCAGTTTTGAATACTGTGATAACCATTTTATAGTTGTATCCTAAAAAAAAATTGATAATTATAATGCATTCTTACTCCGGTACTTTTCGGTTATCGTACCCCAATGGTCGGCCGGCAGACTGCGGCGGCGGTCGGGATATAC